GGGGGGGGGGGGGTGTCGTCACGTTTCGCATGTCTCACTTGTTTGACCATTGACTGCGAGGGGCGGAGGGTTGTTCCCACAGGACCGATCACCGATGGCCAATCGTTCCCTGCTACATGCCAAAGGTGTGTGTGTGGGGTGGAGACAGATCGACAAGAGGCAGAGCGTGTATCCGCGACGCTGTGTGTGATGGAGACATTCTCCATAAACCTGAAAATGCTGCGGCGATCTCAAGACTGTATCCGCGCCCGTGGTGTCAAAGGCTATACCAACAGAGGGCGGAGGAACACACACGCCGTGACACACGCAATGGTACAGCAGTACGGCCAAACGATCGGCACCTAACAGCACTGCCGCCGGCCAAAAATGAACAAAACACTAGAGTTGTGAATCGGAACGATGTACACGATATATATCGTCCGATATATATCGATATCGGTATCGAAAATTCGTGCCGATGTTCCGACCGATGTTTTCTTAGGGGCTCCGTGAATCAAATTTAGGGTATGCGCAGCAGTACGGAGCCCCTGTACGCCACACACACACAGCACAGCAGCGCAGAAACAGCAGACAACAGCACCATGTCCAGAACCAACCGGGAAGTAGACACAGGGAGAGACCGAAGGAGGGTACTGCTGAGGATACGCGACAATACATCAATCTTAATCTTTTTTTTTTTTTTCTACATTCCGTGCGATGTTTGCAGCTGAAGTCAAGCCCTTTTTGATGCCGCATTTGGGCCCATTTTGACGGGAAATGAAAGGAAAATGCACCAAATTTTCTGCCTCCGGCGGCGCCTCCGGCGAGGCCCCCTCACCAGCCGGGGGGGGCCGATGGGGGGGCTCGCTTCGCTCGCCCCCATCACGGCTCGCTGCGCTCGGCCGTAGGCGATATATCGGAGAAAATATCGTTATATCGGCTGCTGCGCAGCCGATGTAAAATATATCGTTTTTTCGTACCGATTCACAACTCTACAAAACACTCAATATAACCCATCGGGCAGCGCGGTGTGGAAAGCCAGTGGAAAGTGGCAGAACCGCAGCGGTTCCAACAAAGCCAGTTCGTTCTCTCGCATGGACCGTTTGTCATCATCTCAGTCGCTCGTTGTTCGTTTTTGCTGAAGGTGGCGTCGTTTGTCTGCTTCCCTTATCCCCCGCCCTAATGTTGTCCAGCGAAAGAAGTCATCCCTACATCGTTCTGGGTCCCACGTGGCGACTGCATCAACAGCACCAACCGCCTCAACCTCTCTCTCCGCTGCTGTAGTTGCTGCCGTAGGTAAGACCTCATTCTATCCTATTTTCACCCATCGATTTTTCCAACGGCCAATAGAACCGCCAAGACCCTCGCTGTTGTTTAGCCAGAGAGCGGGCACCAGGTCTGCTGTTACTGCTGTGCTTTCACCCATGGGAAGGATTGGAGCACGGCGGGTGGGTGTGATTATGTTGATGTGCGAGACATGAGCGGTATGCTGCCTCTGTTTTTTCTCCTGGTTTAAACCGAGCGCGCTTGAGGTTTCCGCTTCTGAAATTCCGCTCTTCTTCCTGGGCTCCCAGGGACAGGGTAAGTAAGCTATCTCCGATGCATTATCGGCACAAACGCCTGTATAGCACAGCTGTCTCCCGCCGAAGCACGACCAAACCGGTGCGACGAAGAGTGCCCTATTGTTCTTCCTCCTCAGAAGCCACCAGATCATAAATCGGTGCCCTATTCATCTCGTTCTGGTCGAAAGGAGGGTTATTTTGGGCTCCCGGAAATCAAACTTGTGCCCCTGGCGTCGCGTTGGAACCGGCCGATATTTCGAGTCTGTTTTTTCCCTCCTGGGACGAAGGGAAAAGAACGGTCGCGCTTTCCGCGGCCCGTTTTAACCCTTTTGGGTCTACAGGCGTCCTGACAGACCATTGATTGATTGATCACTTGCAAATGCTGATGTTGTGGCATGCCATGGAGTTGCCGCCCTGTATCCCTCCACGCCAGGTGTTGGCAAGTCAATAGGTAGGTGTGTTTTTTGTTATTCGCATCGACCCCGCGCTGCCCGTTGACCAATGAAAACACGATGATAGTGCCAGCGGAAAAAAACAAGATCCACCCGTGGAACGGCCAAAATTCGAAAAATGCACGATGCGCTAAATGCGAATGCCACCATGAATCTATCCCCATGTCCTTTCACAGAGACACACATCACTAGCTGCACAAGCATGCCCTCGTCCGAATCTAGGAAGCCAGTCAAGACAGGAGGACAGCAATCAGGGGCATTTCAAGCCCAACCAGGCCAGGATATCGTGGTATGCTGGATATTCTCCAAATTTGAAAGTCGTACTCTTACCAAGATCCAGCAGTCATCGTGTCAGCAGCAATATTATACTACACAGCAGCAGCAGCAGCAGCAGCAGTATAGACGAGTCCAACAAATATAGTAACACACATACACTATCATCATAACCCAACACATACCCTCGCCCGAACCTAGAAAGCCACTGATGGAAAGGTAGGTGTGTGCTGGTGTGTGCCTGCGCGCTTGTGGAATTGTGGCAAAATCACAGGAGCTGTAGTGAGCCGGCAGGGCTCACATTGGGGAGGGGACAGAGAAGTACAGAAGCAAGAACCAGCTGTGGTTCTACAAGCCGTCTCACTGATCATTTTCACTGCATTTGAATATACTCAAAATACAGTAGTTTAGGGCGCTGGACGACTGATCTTTTCGAGGTCTACAAGCCTTACCTGACCTACCCGCTGCACCGCTACCACACATCAACCCTTCTATGACCCTGTCTGTGCCCACCGTCCTATCGCGGGCTGCCCTCATGGCCTATGGGTGGAGATAGCTGTTGCGTCTACAGAAGTACACTGGTCTCTTTTGCTGTACTTCTGTCTCTCTCTCCCGCACTCTCTCCTTTTTTTTTTTTGACCGAAAAAACAAAGAGCTAGACCCAAAGGGCTTAAGGTTCCGTTGGTGGCGGCATGGTGTCTGTCGATCCAGCAAAACCTTCTCCATACCATCCCCTGGCCGTACCCACACGCCGTCCTCACCCACACGCCCACCCTGGCAAAGTCACGCGGTCACGTAGTTTCTCCCCCTCCGTATCTCTCTGCAAATATTGAGCCGACCCCGCGTCCCACACAAGATTTCACATATTTTCCATAACATTTGTGGCGTGCAGCGTATACCTGCACCCGGTGCGACATCGTGAGGAGTGTGGTATCTTGTTTTGTCCTATTACTCGATCTGAGACTGCTCGCACGTTTTGAGCCCATACTGAGCCGCAAAAATGTGGTGGTGTGGTATCCTTCGTGGGTCTGTTATTCATGGTGGTATGGTACACACGAACATTTACCAAATCAATGTGGTTGTTGCCAAAATAACGTATTCAGAAAGCCGTTGTCCCGGGCCATCGCGGGAAGAAGAGGTATGGTACACGGTAAGTGCCAGTCGACGTGGCCATTGGGGGACACAACGCACCTCGTTCAGCAAGACGTCGTCCGTGGCCATCGCGTAAAATATGGTGCGGTACACGGTAATTTACCAGTCAATGCGGCCGTTGGGAGAAACAACACGCCTCGTTCAGCAAGACGTCGTCCGTGGCCATCGCGTAAAATATGGTTCTGTACACGGAAACTTACCAGTCAATGTAATCGTTGGGGGAAACAACACACCTCGTTCACAAAGACGTCGTCCCGGGCCATCGCGGAAAATATCCCTTCCACGCCCAGCGGCGGCGACTGCGCCGACGTCTCTCGCAAGGCCGCCACCAGCTGCGGGGGAGAGTACTGCTCATTCGCGGCAGAAGCAGCAGCCGGTGCTGCCGGTTCGACGGCAGGCACGGGGCGGTCATTTTCATCGGGAGAGGGCGTGCAATTGGTCCCAAAGGTTGTTGAGGGTTGGTGTGCATATCGCATGACTACGGGGGTGGGGTGGCGGTAACCTGAACATATCCGACGAGCCTCACGGGTGTTCCATGACCCGCAAACGCTGTGGTACATGTCATTGCGGCAGCGTGTTTTTTCGCGTTGGCGGCATGTCGTCGTGCTAGAAGTAACAACAACGGCATCAGGGCCGTGTTCAAGTTATAGTGCGGCAGCAGGTCAATATCTCACACCGCAGCTGCATCGCACAATAGCTCAACGGTGGGCAGCCACGAACACACCGACAAGGGGTCATACCGAGGAGTCAGTCGATGTGCGCGGCAACCAACAGCAGTAGGTAGGTGCCGCTTCCCACGACGCATGTAACATCGTGCTGGCCTCTGGAACGCGATCTGCTGATCTACTTGGCGTCTCCAGAGGGGGGCCGGCCATGGTTCGCACGTACGTGTATAGCGTTGCGGCGGCTGCAAGGACTGAAGCGTACTGCAGCTCGAAACACCATCACCCCAACGATGACGACCTGCCTACTGCTGTACTTCTCAAATCTTGCAGGTGTACCCGCGGGGTGAAACCTGTTGATAAGCTACAAGCAGTTAGGCTTACGCTGTTGTGGGCGGCGCTGCTGTTGTTTGTGAAGGTATTTCACCCAAAACAAGCCACACCTGGCACAAAGCACTCCGCCGTTTGCACCTACCAACTACCAACTCTCAAACCACCTCATCAGTAGTGGCAGTGGGCCACAAAACGGCAACCATCCACCTCTCACGTGAGCAACACATGATACGGTTACTGCTGCTGTCACCATCTTCACCGACCCTCTCACCGACTGTATCGCTGACTGCAGTTGAAGGAACAACGCGCGACCTGCTGCTGCTGCTGCTGCTGCTGCTGCTGCTACCGCTGCGGGCGGTGGTCAGTGCTGGCCCCGTGAATGCGTGAGTGCTGGCAAAGCCCAGGCTTGCTAGGCCCACAGCGAAAGCACCTCTAGACGGCCTCATGTTGGTCGTGGTTGAGATTGTGGTCTCCGTAGCGCGTCCATCTGATCTCGCTCGCCGTCGCCGCCAGGGGCGGGGGCACCGGGGAATTCTTCTATGCTCAAATATATTTCTCCGGGGGTTGCACCGTTGCCCCATCCTCAATCAATATTTCGTTCGTTGCTTTCGAAATTGCAGTAATTGGGGGCGCGACTATTTGCAATCCATGGATTGAAAAAGAACCACAGGGGGGAGAGAGAAGAGTGGAACTCCCCGACCCGTCTGGATGTTTGGACTGCTGTGGTTCTCTTTTACAATCCATGGATTGCAACTAGTCGCCCCCGTGGAACTCGGGGGGCTCAACCTATCCTCGTCCACAACACCATCAATCATCAGTATAGTATAAACCAGTCACCGCACCATCAGGCATACTCTCAACGTCATGCCCGCCCCCCACAGACTCAGATATCCATGCCTACAACATATTCATAGTCCATGTCTACTCCGTAGCCTACATAGTCTATGCCCGGTCGCCCCGGTGGTCTGGTGGGTAACCTCGCAGCCTCTAAGGGCCAGGTCATGGGTTCGAGTCCCGGCAGAGTGAGTTTTTTCTCACTAAGTAAATCCTGGTCTAGGATGAAAGTGACGCGTTGCAAAGCTCGTTGTTAGTAAACCATAATCGACTTCGAAGTCGCGAGGGAAGGGATTGCTGTAGCTACCCTTCTCGCGATAAAAATACCTCAGGCAGGAACCGCAGGTGGGGGTCCAGCCCCCCCCTTCTATGTGACCCCGGTTGGGTTGTCTAGCTACAGTGGGTGGCCCGATATAGTGCCGGTTGAATAGTTNGTTAGTAAACCATAATCGACTTCGAAGTCGCGAGGGAAGGGATTGCTGTAGCNACAAGAACAAATGACGAGACAGAAGGAAGAGAAATCCACGTGCTGCAACCGGGGATGACGATGCTTAATGCGTCCATGTTACATGTTACCAAAGGGGCACCAGGCCTTGCGGGAAACGGCAACGTTACTGTACTCTCCGTGTACCAGCGATACCGTACCGTGAACCAGACAACGAGCATTTTCCCGTCAGCATTTTGCAAGGAAACCCACTACAGTGGGTGGCCCGATATAATGCCGGTTGCCGGTATAGTGCCGGTGTTTTCGGCTCGCACACACCGGAATATCAAGTCTTCCTGTACTCTGAATAGTGCCGGTGCCCGGTATAGTGCCGCTTTGCTCTCTGAACACATACCGGCACTATAAAGGGCCCCCTACTGTAGTAGAAGTGGAGGATAGGGGCCAGAGGGGCAGACCACAGAATCCGATGATGGGAGAAAAAAAAATAGTCTATACTCCCTCTGTCCGAGAATATAAGCAAGGTTTGGACAAAAAGCAATAGAACTCGTGTCTGCCGAACTCTTTTTCCGAACGGTTTTTTTTTCTGGTTCCGCCGCACTGGCGCGCAGCGCGCAGAACCGCTGCTCTTTTCACACCACCTCAACAAAGTGTGTTGCACCCCAGCACAACACGCCCGATTTCACCACCCCAACTTTGGAGCCCCGGTCAAACGCCTTCCCGTCTGCTGGCGGGACATGTCTGCTGCTGGGAGTGCCTCCCAGGGGCTCAAACGCAAGAATTTCAACGTTTCGGAGAGAGAAGAGGTGGTACGCTACCTTCTCGCCGACAGCGAAGACGGGGTTCGNCGAGCGGATTTTTTTTTTTTCTCTCTCCAATGTCATATGTGATCGTTTGCCAAAGTTGTCCGACGTCCACCGTGCCCAAATGGCACGTTTCCGTCAATATTCTTCAAACCTTGCTTATATTCCCGGATTTCCAAACCTTGCTTATATTCTCGGACAGAGGGAGTATATGCAAAGAAAATGCCACGCGACCTACATTTCCACCGAAAGGAAATGCAAATCCAGAAACAAAATTGCCCGGCACCTGAAAGCTCCATACATGTTGTACATACATGTGTAAGTTTAGTCTACATGAAAATTGGACTGGAAATACTCCTAGCACAGCACTCATCCCCCTCTCACTCAGCGCCAGTTGTTAGCAACAACTTCCAACTGCGCGCCCACTCCCCCCGGGATGTCGTGTGCTCCACACACTCTCTTCTCTCCAAATTGCACGCTGTTGTTCCGATAAACCAACCTCAATCAACATACCGCACAAATTCCACATCGATTGTGATGTACCGTGAAATACACCACTGCATGCCCATGTCTAGACTAGTCGCGCTACCTCGTCAAGCTCATCAACGGTCGCACACACGCGGTACCGCACGAACCCCCACGTTGAGTTTGTACCCGCCCCCCGACCGCCGGCCCATAGCTACAGCCGACCCTGTCGACCATAACCTCACATCCAGTCACTGTGCCCTCGCCTCCTTTCGTGGCACAGCAACTTAGGCGCTCTTACCCGCACTGAGAGTACCGCACACATCCTAACGCGACAGACACACCCGGGCAAGGACCCTCTACCCAAGAGACCCTCGCCCCATCAGCAGTATCGGCAAACGACCACACCTTCCTCGTTCACCACTACTGGCGATCCGTCCTCGCCCTACCACTGACACCACCAAAAGCAAAAAGGTGGGTGGGTGGGAAAGAAAAAGACTAGATTTCCTCCGAAATAAATACCTCTTGGCTGCAGCAGCCTCCCTCGTGCTTCCTTGGGGCAGACCAACAAGTGCCCCCGAGTCTAATCTTCTGGTCAGGTTTCAGACACACGCTGACTCTATGCTGCTGCTCTCTGATTGGCCAACAGATACATCTTCCGCTCCTCACAGAACTCAGATTTCAACGCCTCTGTCTCTACAATCCTCTGCGTTGTTCGTTGCTTTCGAAATTGCATTAATTAGTCGTACCCCCCCACGCTTGAACAGGGGGGGGAGAGAAGAGTGGAACTCGGGGATCCCAACCTATCCCCGTCCACAACACCATCAGTATAAACCAGTCACCGCACCAGAAAGTCATGCCTGCCCCCAACCTAACCGCGGACTGGTTTACCAACCTGATCCTCTGTACTCTCTCTCCCCCCGTACCGTGGTTCCCACTATTAAACCGACCAAAATACCCTCATCACACACACTCCACTCCCTCCTTTTACGGCTCGCCCTCACCAGCCTCTGGGACTACGTCACCCCGCTCTGTACCCTGTCCTGGTTGCCTCACTGTATCACTCTCCGACGCCAAGGTACTAGAAACCCACTCTGCATCTTTCCCATGGTTCCTTACGTACGGCCGATACCCCGTTTCCCCAGTCCATCTCCCCTCTCGTCTCAGAACTTCTGGCGACGCTCCCCCTGCTGCCAAGTACGTGGCGCCCCCAATCCGAAGGGAATGCAACGAGTACTCTGACGACGGCAGACCCGCCAACGACACGACTTGCCGCAGCGCTTCCGTCGCGTGACGACGAGTCCACACGGACCATCGCCCCTCTCCGGTTCCGAACGCGACCAACGGAGCAAACGGGGGAGAAAAGGGTAGCATGACAGGAGTTCAAACATCACATCGACTGCACCCCCCCACACTCCACAGACGGGGGAGGCCCCGGCCTCGCCCGCGTACACACGGCACCCTTCCGAAACTGGTTGCCTTTCGACGACCGAAAACCCACCTCGACTCTGTCGGCCTCTCCCCTCCGTTCATGAGGCAGCTGGTGAGCACCCAACAAAAACGCCACGTCCCCCAGACGCAACCCATGACAAGAATCTGGGATTTTTTGGAGCGTGGGTGAAGTTTCGAGAGGATGTCGTGGGGAGACCGGCGTTTATGGTGCCGTCGTCTCCATCGCCGGACATTGGTTCGCCATTGTTGGATTACGTTGCGTACGCGTTCACGTTGTTGGACTTGAGGCAGACGACGATAGCTGGTCACTTGTCTGCTGTTAAATTGTTTCACCGCTTGTCGTATGCGATGGAAGTGGATACATGCCATTTATTGATCAAGCAGGCGCTCAAACGGGTGGCACGAGGGCATGCGGGTGGAGGTGTGCAGCAACGGGTGCGACGTCCGGTTTCGTGGTCGATGCTGAAGGAAGGAGGGCGTCTGGTGCCACAGTGGAGCACGGGTGGGCGCGTGTTTTTTCTGGCGCTGAGTGCGTCATTTTTTTTCTTGATGCGGGCATGTCAAACGTTCGCTGGGTCCTCGTTGGTAAGTTCGTTCAGACGACCGCGCAAGTGCGTGCCGGACGAGCTCGAAGCCAGCATGGTGGAGCACAACTCGCGCACCTTCGGGCCTAACTCCACGATCTGCCACGCCACCTTAGGGGAGGCAGCGTACAGGGTATCATGAACATCGATAGTATTCCAACGTGAGAGACCATCAGCAAGCGATTTGAGTATGCCGGGAACATGGGTCGCTTGGAAATGCCACCCGCTGGCTACCTTAAGCGCCCCCAGTAGGCGCACCAGCGCCCCCGATCGAGGCTCAATGCCCCCCGACAACGCTCAATCCACGCCGTCGCTGCTTCGTTGTCTCCTCGCTGTCGCACACAATCACCCGCCTCCACAGGCTGGTGACTTTGACCCAACACCAACACCCACGCCCCCATGACCATGCCAAGGAGCTCTAACACGTAATAATGCTGACATCATTGACCCCTTGGACCGATTTGCTCGACCCCACAACGCAAGATTGCTCTTCCACAGACAGATCATACCGAAAGTAGCGGCCCGTTTGCAAACAATACCCTCCAATGGCTTGCTTAGACGCATCGGTGATAGTTTGGGTGGACGTTCCAAAATGTTGTACATGGGTGCACACAAACTTCCGCCGCGCAACGAGAGACCACGCCGGTGGAATCACCGCCAAAATTCGAGGTCATCGTGGAATACTGGACCCAGCACTACCCATCTGTTCGGGCTCAGCACTTGAGACGCGAAAGCAGACGAAGCAGGCATCCCTACCGCAGACAAAAGGCGCCACACGAAAAACTTTCCTGGCCGCAACACGAACGAAACGTGCATGAGAAACCCTGTCAACTCGGCCACTTGACGAGCTGTAGCGGCTCTCCGCGTCGCGGGCCACGCAGCCAAAATGCGTCCCAGTTTCTGCTGTTTCGTGTCGGTCATAGTAATCGTGAGTTGCTGAGTGTCTAATGTCCAACCCAACACATCCAAACGGGTAGCGAAATCGGTTATCTTCCCTTGCGACAACAACGGCGGGTCTGCTGGGCCTCTCTCTCCCAGCAGACGAAAGTGATCCGTAGCGAGAAAATGCACCGCGCGCAAACATCGGTGACCATCAGCGAAAAATCGCCCTTCAATTAACACATCATCATCGACGTAGTATCGCACGAAAAACGGAGAACCAGCAAACACCTCGTCACCCACATTAGTCTGGCAATCAACAGGTAACGGCATCGCTGTACTTTCGTCTGGTGGGGACAATGCTTGAACATGCTACACAGCCGCAGCACCGGCGGGAGAGACGGAAACTTCCTGAAATGTAGTGTGTGTGTGAGTGGTCCAAGGTGGAGGAGAACAAGGACAAAACCCTGGGCTCGACCGCCATCCAAATTGACACCGTAGGTCAACAACCACGTGATCTCCGATCGTGTACCCAAAAACCGATGCCCGAGACGGATCCACCGGGATTTGTCGGAAGGCTTCTTTGACATCAATGCAGCAGATCAGAATTTCCAACGACACCCCGTGTAGTTGTTGCAAATACAGCACCCGCTTCAGAATGTCACTCAACACATGACCCAGGAGGCATTTAGGTGCTTGATCGAAGTCTGCATCATGATTTACGCTCGTACGGATTGGCACGCCAGAGGTGAAAGTGAGATTGTGAANCCGAGACGGATCCACCGGGATTTGTCGGAAGGCTTCTTTGACATCAATGCAGCAGATCAGAATTTCCAACGACACCCCGTGTAGTTGTTGCAAATACAGCACCCGCTTCAGAATGTCACTCAACACATGACCCAGGAGGCATTTAGGTGCTTGATCGAAGTCTGCATCATGATTTACGCTCGTACGGATTGGCACGCCAGAGGTGAAAGTGAGATTGTGAATAATTCTGAACTTCGGTTCGTCGATTACGCCCAACGGCGACACTCTGATTCCTAAGATTTCTCGGATGAAGTGAACATCGAAAATCAGCGCACGCCCCAATATCACGTCTGACACAACTTTATCTGTGATCCGATCTCTGTGCAACCACTTCGGCGTCAAGGTTCCCACCTGAGAACACGTCAACCGACGCACCCGGAGACAACGATCTCAGAAGTTGACCGACTCGGGGAACTTTTTAACATTCCCAAGATGTGCCTTGACACGCATCAGATCGACATGGGGCAGAAAGAACTTCTGGCCAACAGCGGCGACGTACCTTTCCACGCGTCCCTCACACCGTCGAAGCAAGTTTGAACCCACGTGCGCCACAGAGTGAAGATGGACATACCGTTCTGCAGCTTCACACTCAGCCAACGCAGACACAGCCACACGCCAATCTTCAACCTCACATGGCGAAACCTCTTCAAAACTTTGCCTCGTACCTGATTCCAAGTCGGAAGCCACTCCGGGCAAGCCCTCGCAGCGCTCGCCTCGGATCCCCACGACAGCCAAGCCCCGAGACGCCATCTCCCTATTNTCGTACCTGATTCCAAGTCGGAAGCCACTCCGGGCAAGCCCTCGCAGCGCTCGCCTCGAATCCCCACGACGGCCAAGGCCCGGGACGCCATCTCCCTATGACCTGGCTGCTGTTGCGGCCTCTCAGCTGGGTCGACACAGGAGTTGGCCCCGCCAGCTGGCGGAGCCCGCACCCCTAGTTGCTGCCACCCCGCACCACCACGGCCGACGACGAGCCGCCACCGTCGCCACCGTCAGCCTGTCCTCCTCCACGGGAGACGCCGTCCCCCTGACCACCAGCCGACGAGCGCCCCCCTCCACCACGACTCCCGCCCCAACCACCGCCACTTCCGGTACTTGACGAGTCTCGGCGCTTGACGTGCTCAAACGTGCATTTGTCGCCGAGAGTGCACGTGCCAGGGTCGCGGAACTGGAAGCACTCCCTCGAGACGCGCTTCCGTGACGATGAATCACCCCGATCCAGTTGGCCCGCCTCACGCTTGCCGCTCCCGCCCCGCGACCCTCGTGTCCCGGGGAGGGATCCCCCTTCACTCAGGATCAGCCGGAATAGGTTCACCCCCCGTTCACAGAAGTCCTTGATGTTGGAGAACTCGGGCACCGGCGGCAAGGTGTGGCCGTCGAACGTATCCGGCGGATAATGCATCTTCGTGAAGGGGTATATCCAGGTGATGATCGCCGTTGTCCACAATTTGAAGTCCTCGTTCGGCAACCTCGGCAGTGCCACCTGCTGGTACTCGTCCGGAAACACATCACTGTTCCGCACGAGAGTAGTCGAAACCTGGATCGCGCGTCCGCCATGGCTGTGGCGATGGGTTCCAACCGCTGCAACGATTGCGCACCCGCGGTCGTGGACGAATCGAGACCAAACTTCAACAGTCGCATCACCGCCTCACACGTTCGTCGAAGTTGTCTGCAATGGACGACGTGCGGGCGATCCCCACGGGCCGGAAGCTCTTGACATCGAAAGACGAAAACGAACGCATCTGGGCGTGGATGTCGCCGGTGACTTGAACGATATCGCCCATCAAACCTTGCAGGTCCTCCTTCTGTGGCCCGGGCTCCGGCCCCCGCTGCCCCCGAAGTACCCACAGTGTCTGATTATATTTGGCTTGCCAAATGGTGGCCTCCCTCCTCGCCTCCTCTTTGGCGTTGGATCTCGCGGGCGCACTCGCCCCCCCGCCCGCGCCCGCGCCCCACGGCGACTGCACCGGCACCAGACCGAGGCCTCCCGACTCCCCGGGCCCACGACAGCACCTCTAGACGGCCTCATGTTGGTCGTGGTTGAGATTGTGGTCTCCGTAGCGCGTCCATCTGATCTCGCTCGCAGTCGCCGCCAGGGGCGGGGGCACCGGGGAATCCTTCCATGAAATATATCGACCAATAACCAGAAACGGGTATACCTGGGTCCTTTATCACCGCTTTAGGGTATAGTTAGAAATCAACACGCTTGCACCCCCAGGCTGTCATCTGCTTGGCCGAAAAAACATTGTACCCATTTCTGAAGAAACCTCCATCGGGTACAGCTCTCGCTGGAATTAGGACCCTCTGGTGTGACCAATATTGGTTACTGTTGTACCCGGAAGAGGTCAATTTTGTGCCCAGAAATGGTCATATAATCCCGGCGCCCGACGCTCTAGCATAAAACCCGCAGAAACAAACGTGTAGTACCGCACATACCGTGTATCGCACATACAGAACCACAACCAAACCACCAATAACGCTCGCTCGTTCATGGCTCATGGGCACCGCCTCCATAGGATTCTCAACAGAGGGTCGGACTCGCTTGACGCGCGAGTACTTCGGTGTGGTACTGATCAGTAAAAGCACACAGAGAGAGGGAGGCACAGAGAGAGAGAGAAAAACGGGCACGACCTGCCTCGTGCATCATGCTTCCGGGCACAGGACACACGGGACACAGACAGCGGTTTATTGGTTTCGCCGCGATCTACGGCGGATCCTGTCGGGGATTAGTGTCGTCTTGATTTCCAAGTGTGCCCTGAAATGGTGATAATCTATCCGGGTATACCCGTTTCTGGTTACTTCTCAAATATATTTCCTTGGGGGTTGCCCCGTCCTCAATCAATATACAGTCGTGGGCCCGGTTTAGCGGCTCCCTGTTCAGCGGGATGCCCTGAATAGCGGTTGTAAAATCTTGTGACACGGCTTCACTTCGGTATTTTAGCGGTCATACAACCGCTAAATAAACCGGTCGTGCCCTCAATAGCGGTTGTATGACATGTTTTCAGCCACCAATAGCTGTTATCGGTTCAATTATTGCGGAGACCTGCTGTATGTAGTGCGCGCTTCGCTTGCACGTGCTCCCAGCACAGCGACATTGGTCAGCCTGCTCGCTGGTCGATGCTCATTATAAATCTACAGAACAACTCCTACTTTCAAAATTCAAAAAATAGTGAAGGGAATGATTCTTGTGCATCCGGTCACCCCGGTGGTCCAGTAGGCAACCTCGCTGGTAGTTAAAGGTGAGATCATGGGTTCGAAGTCGGGCAGAGTGATTTTTTTTCTCACTAAGTAAATCCTGGTCTAGGATGAAAGCGACGCGCTGCAAAGCTCGTTGTTAGTAAACCATAATCAATCGACTTTGTAAGTCGCGAGGGAAGGGATATCTGTACCCTTCTCGCGATAAAAATACCTCAGGCAGGAACCGCAGAAGGGGGTCCAGCCCCCCCCTCCTATTTGACCCCGGTTGGGTCGCCTAGCTGGTGTTACGGAGTGTTGCTGTATGGCACAGATAGGGTACACAGTCGGTCTAGATTAAGATGGGGGACGTCAGGAGGTATACCCTCTTAGGACGTACCCCATCGGGACTTAGCTATCTGCGTGCCCCCAGGTTGAGGGCAATCCGCCTCACCTCAGACCTGTAGCAGACCCGCTTCTGCAATAACAAGCAACCTTCCCATCTCAACGTGCTCGTGGACAAGAGTGTCTACGGCAGAATCTACATCTACTACATCTAGGAGGCAAGCCACCGTCGTCGGGCGGGCATTCCTTTGAACTTGGCGTCAGCTTGGCAGGCACGGTAAGAGAGAATTGGACGCGATTCTTCCCTTTTCGTGCGCCGAGGCACGCTTTGCTCACGACCACCACGTTGCTTGTTGTTAGGTCTCACCACCCACGAGAATTTAGACTTCGCCCTTATTGGCGATTACCTGCGGGATGCCGGCTCATGATGCTTTTGCTNTTTTGTGCCGGCTTACCGGCCTGCATCCGCCGACTTCCCCGTGGTGCTCTCTGATTTGACTCCACGTATTTCGACATGGCGAATTTTATGTGTACACAAATTGAGCGTTCGCTACACCACCGATCTGCCCTTCATTTTTCGAGAACAACTCACATTTTTTTTGGGCCATCGGCTATGCATGTACCTCGAGTTGGAGCCTTTGCTGCCGCGCAAATCCACTGCGGTCTTTCCCCGCACCTCAGCGCCTGTTGCGGCAAAACGTCGTGCTGCGCTGCGCGAGTTTTGGACAGACAAACTAGTCTCCTCGTATAACACAGGCCCTTTTGTGCTAGCTTCTACTGCTGTTGGTACATGGCATGGAGTGCTTCTGGATGCCTTTTATGATTGGTTGGATCCGCTTCAACCAAGGGTACATTAAGCTTTTCTGGCCGGGCGTATGCTCTCCTGCGGATATCTTCGCTTTCCGTTTGGACCCAGGCAGGACCCTCCGGCAGTTGCACCCACGTTTACCGCGCCTTCTGTCCCTGGCTCTGTTGTCCCTGGCTCTGCTGTTGCCCCCACCGCCGTTGCCCCCGCCATTGCTGTTTCTACTCGTGATCGGGAATACCCCGGTTCTCTCGCTTTTCTTTCAGAAGCAGAAATGTCGGAGAAGTCGGAGGAACTGATGGACTTTGAAGAAGAGGAGGTGGAGAACGCGTCCCAGTCTTCACAGGGGGAGNTCTTCGCGACATCGAGGCGGCCCGTCCCAAGGCTCTGGCTGCAGCTTACCGCTCGGGCAGCATCACCCTCCGGGACATTGTGGACGCGGCAGCCTTTCCTCCCCTCACCCCCTTGCCGTTCCCACTGTTGATTTTGACCTAAACGAGGAGGTGTTCGTGGAGATGTCTAACGATGAAGCCGACGCGTGGACACAACTTCAGACCATCTT